CCCTCTCCCGCTCCCTCTCCCTCTCCCTCTCCCTCTCTCTTCTATCTTTCTTTTACTCCTTTTTCTACTCATTACACTGTCTCTTACTAGAACAGTTTGCTGATTTATTTTATTTATTATATATTTTTTACTAAATCTTGGTTTATTTTCAGGTTGCATCACTTACCCGAATCGTAGACCAAGAGAAAACCCAGACATATTCAGCGAATGCGCACAGGCTTTCAACTGCACGGGGAAATGGCAGATTCAGCAGTAACAACTTGAAGCTCTCAGAGACAGTGGCGGCTGGGGATAGCCCACAATTGTCCAGCAGTCACGATGCTATCACAGATAATATTCAAGCTCACGATCAGCTAGTAACGAAGGAGGAAAGGAGGAGTGAAAAGGAATACAAAGGAAAGCATGAAGTCAAATTCAACAAATCAATAATGACAAAGCACAAAGTATCGCCCACTATAGATTCACAGACAGATGTCGAAAAACGCGTAAGCCCTACGTCGCTCTCGGCCAGAAAAGGCAAAAGTGGCATATCCAGAGACAGCAGCAGTGTGCGAAATGATGCGGCAACAGTTTCGATTGTAAGCTCCCAAACATCTGAAGATCGGAAATCGAATACCACTCGCCTTGCACACAACAATAAAAAAGGGAGAATAAGTTTTAAGGAAACTCCCCAGCATGGATCCACAACTCAAGAGAAGGCTCATGCAAAGAAAATAAATTTTTTATCGGCATTTAACTCTTTCATTCCAACTGATCATTTGAACTTTAGAGCTTTAACCGATAAACGTCTCTTGTACCTGCAGACCGAATGCCAAGCCCTGAAGCTGCCCAAGAGAAAAGGGAGAAAAACGGTACGCAAGAAAATCGCCGTCCGCGATCTTTTCAGCACTTGTGTTGCCCCGAAGGTAGGCCTCGTGAGCGGGGGCGGGACTGAGTACTCAAAATGTTTTTCACTCGGGCGGTTGTGAAAACGTTCGCTACCCTTCTTTTCTCAGGATCTGATATTTCACTTTGTATTCACAGGGAGGTTCTACTTCATGGTATGAACTGAGAGAGAAGTTAAAACAACACCGGTTTGAAGGGAATACTCAGGCGGCTATCCTCAGTGTAAGGCATCCTCTCTCACGCTTGACATCAGCTTATAGGTGAGTTCAAACCTTTTATCATTTACTTTATCAATTTCAGATCTAGCATGAATGAAGTGCCAGTCTCAAGTTACATAATGCTGAGTTTAAGTCAGTGGGATCTCTTATAAAAAATAATTTTATAAACGGATGTATCAAAGCGATTTTCTTGCTCATTTCATTTGACATCAAAACGTCTAGCTAAGAAATCTCAAGGGACTGGCCTAGTGTGACTGCAGATTTTTCAATATCTTTGTGAGTGGATAAACCAGAAGCCCACCTTCAAGTGGAAAGTTCAACACCTGGTTGATTGCACTAACAGAGATACTAGACATGAAAACACTAACTCTGAGATGCATTGGAGTTAGACACAAGGTCCTGAGGTCGTTGTTTATCTATGATCCATCACGACATGGATTAGGGTACTGCTACTGCCCTGGCCACTGCTACGCTCGGTTTCAGCGACAGGCTTGAGCTTGTCCAGTAAAAGGCTTGCAGGATCGTGTTGGGTGT